TCAAGTAACACATGCTAATGAACTCAAGGCACAAAACTTACAAGCTATAATGAACCAAGACTATGCAAAACAATGCATGCATGATCAAGAAAACACCAAACAGAGCTTAAACATGGTGAAACATGACTAAAAGCTCCTTTGAGTTGAGCCAAAACATGCAAGAATAGTGGTCCAAACACAAGATGCATGTTATGCAAACATGCAAGATTACTCTACAAGTATGTGAAGCATGCAAGATGCCATCAAACCAACATGGAATAGATTAAGGCAGGTCCTAAAAGCCACTAAAAAGTGCTGAAATAGAACCAAGACATGCTAAGTAAACATGCTACTCTTATAAGCCAACAACGCAAGCATATGAGACATAAGGAGAGGGGGGTGTCCCCCTCCTATACAAGACTCCAAAACCACTTCTCCACCACTAAAGATCCTCTGGATTTCAGTGGTGGAAAGGTCAAAATAAGATGATCCCAAAGCTCAAAAGGAAAGGCACAAAACAAGGCCAAACAAGGCCTAAAAGGGGGTAGACAACCCCCAACCAAAAAGTGACCTTAAGCAACCATAACAAGCATACAAAATCAGAACCTTTTGTAGTTTAGAGTTAAGCTTAAAACAATATAGAAATATGTGTAAAAGCTTAAGCCAAAATGGGGTATCAAAAGCAAGTTGACTCACCCTTGAAGAACAACTTCAAGAACACAACTCCAGCAATCTTCTTGGATCAAAACAGCCCAAGAACTCTAATAACAACCTTTTAGTGCCTCAGCAACCAAGGATAGTGTAACTCTAGGTGTTTGTGTACAATAGTAAGAACAAAATACACTTTTGAGTTCAAACACACACACAAATCTAGAGAGAGGGAGATATAGAGAGAGAGATATATCTAACTTGTATATCAGATTTCTGAACCCTTGGAAAGGGAGAGGAGGCTCTCCTTTTATAGAAAACTAATTTTGCAAAGCTTCTTAGAGAAGCTAAGCAAGGCTCAAATCCCTCCATACACGTGTATGGAGGGGGTGAATTGTGGATGCCAGCTGCACCAGCTGGCACAAAATATCTGCATAAAACAGATGAATAGGGTTCGGCCACCAAAAATGGCCGATTGACCAACATAAGTGCCGGCCGACCAAATAAAGTGCCGATCGGCCAATACTTTTGGCCGATGGCAAGAAAACAGGGCCGATGGCCTCAAGCCTTGGCTGGTGGGTTGAGGGTATGGCAAAAAAGCCACCCTCTTCCCTTAGAAGCAAAAACACAAGTGTTTGGTTCACAACTAAGCACAAAACAAACAAGTTGAGAGATCTTAAGACAAGGTGCGCGGCCGAGACCTTCAGGAACTCAAAACGAACACGAACATGGATGATCATCGATTGTTCAAACGATGACGTCTAAGTCTTGAGGACGGTCAAAAATGGGGTGTCTACACATATATTCCATCTTCCACCTAAAACCCTTATCATGACCATAATATTCTATCTGTTTCCCTCTTCTATATTCTATCTTATATAATATATATGATATATTCAATCTTATATAAACATAATTGAATCCAGCAGGCGGGGAGGTCGACATCGACCTCTCTTTCTTTTTTTCTTTTCTTTATTCTTTTCTATTTATAAAATATCTAATGTATTATTTATACCAATTTATATAAAACACCTAAAAATATGTACAAACACATAAAATTATAAACTAGTACAAATTAAAAAAATATTTTAGTGATATAAAATAATTTAGCCAAAATGGATGAGGTTTATGATTAAAGCTTCAATCTGATTTTTCTGCTGAGAAATTCATAAAATAGCATATTTCGATTTTCATCATCGAGTGTTCAAAAAAAAAGCGCCCAACTCTTAGGACCGGTCAAAATGGGGTGTCTACACATACCCACTGTTTTGTTAAAGATTACAAAAAGGGCCAAATTGAACAAATAAAAAACCAGATTGAACAAACCCTTGTATAAATAAAAAAAAGGGTTTTGAAAGTTTAGATTGAACAAAAATCAGTGGAAGAACCACAAATGCTTTAGATAAAAATCATACAAGGAAAACCCAAAACTAGAAAATCAAAAAAAAAAAGAGCAAAGTAGAGGGAAATGATGATTATCACCGGAAAGAAGCTTTGCCAAAGGAAATCGGCAAGAAAATCGAGTAGATCTACACTTGCAAAACCAGATCTCTTATTTTATGCTGGATGTATTGAGCCACATATGTTTTGTTGAACACTAGTCTGTGTATATATTAGATAGATAAGAAAGTAAATTGGACTTTTTAAATCATATCCCAACCCAGGGGATATGATATAATGGAGGGAGGGTGGTATTGTATATCTACAAATTTTGGAAGATATGCAATCCCATAGTATATTATATCCTCTCTAAAAAAAATTGCAAACATGGGATATGTGGACCCTATAGTATATAATATCCAATCTCACCCTTTGTATCCTAGAATCAAACAGGGCCTTAATACCTTGAGGTTTGCAAAATTGTGATCGACGACGTTATATATCAGCTTAACAATTCGAGACTTTTCAAATTCAAATATCTTAAACCCTAATTTTTGAGGGAATCTTTTTAGTTTCGAAACTCTTGTTTTTTTATTTCGATTTCAACGTTGATTTTGGTATCATTGTTCTTAGATATAGAGTTCATGAAAATGAATTACCTACTTAATCTCATGCTTCTTCTTTTTTCTCAGTGTTTTTAGTTTTAAAACTGGAAAAAACTGATAATGTTTTCAATTTTAAAATTGAAAAAAATTAATAATATTCTCAGTTTTACTAGATAGTCAAATCAAACCAAAAAATAGATGGCAAAAATGTTTAATCTTATATTCTGTTTTCCCCCTCCCCCCCTTAATTAGCAGAACAACTATCTGGAATATTGTTGTGTAAAATTGATAATGTTATCAGTTTCAAAACTAGAAGAAAACTAATAATATTATCAGTTTTATTAGATAGTCAAATCAAACCAAAGGATTGAAGGGCAAAAACGTCTTTATATCTCAAAATAAGACTTGTTGGTTCAAAAAATCTTGAACATGATCAAAGCTACCACAGTATTGGTGAATATGATTTTTAAATAATTAATTCAGAAAAAAATTGCATGTTACAAAACAAATGATGTGATTTATTGTATTTTTTTATTTAAAAATATAATATTCATTATTATGATCATAATTTACACTTTTGTTGCTTCTTGTCATTGGGAAAATTACTTTCATATAAAACTATTAGGTTAATTTCATTTTTGTTCCTTAAATTTAATTTTTGAATTATCAATTTCATCTATTATTACTAATGTTAATTCGCATAACACTTGACGCTCCATTTTCACGAATAATTCATTTGTATTAGGATTAAAAAAAAATAATATTGTAATATATTTTACACTAAAATACATTTTTTTTGTTGATTATCATTGTGTCTCACATTAGTTGTACCAATTTTCAGCCCTTTAATCTTAATAAAATAAAGGTTAATGTAATTATATTAAAGTTGTAAAATTATTTATTAATTTTTTGAGTAAATCACAAAAAAAGGTTCCAAAATTTGACCAAACCCTACAATTTAATTTTTTTCAGTTTAAACTATAAACTTCTAAATTAGTTTTAATTAAAAAAATACTAGGAATCCTAAATATTTTATCAAATATTTAATAATTAAATATTTCACATAAATGTAAGACTTACACAATATGAATCCCGTAATATTTTGTAAAATATTTAAAATCCTCAACATTACTTATCAATTAAAACCAGAAGTCCACCTACCTCTGTTAAAAAACAGAGAAATATTTATACTGGCCACATGAGATTATCATATTCATTATTTCAATTCAATTTAATGTCAATCACAATTATCAATATAATCACACAAAATCACAATCATATTCTTTTGGGGAAATTACCCATAGGTCCCATGGGAAACATGTGATCTCCATTTAATCCCATAACTTTTTCACTACACCCAAAAGTCCACCCAAAAGTCCTTTCCTCTCTCTCTGCTTTTTGCTTCCCTTCCTCTCTCGTTTTTTTTTCTACATTTTTCTGTCACCGTGTTTGTCATATAAAACTATTAGGTTAATTTCATTTTTGTTCCTTAAATTTAATTTTTGAATTATCAATTTCATCTATTATTACTAATGTCAATTCGCATAACACTTGACGCTCCATTTTCACGAATAATTCATTTGTATTAGGATTAAAAAAAATAATATTGTAATATATTTTACACTAAAATACATTTTTTTTGTTGATTATCATTGTGTCTCACATTAGTTGTACCAATTTTCTGCCCTTTAATCTTAATAAAACAAAGGTTAATGTAATTATATTAAAGTTGTAATTATTTATTAATTTTTTGAGTAAATCACAAAAAAAGGTTCCAAAATTTGACCAAACCCTACAATTTAATTTTTTTCAGTTCAAACTATAAACTTCTAAATTAGTTTTAATTAAAAAAATACTAGGAATCCTAAATATTTTATCAAATATTTAATTAAATATTTCACATAAATGTGAGACTTACACAATATGAATCCCGTAATATTTTGTAAAATATTTAAAATCCTCAACATTACTTATCAATTAAAACCAGAAGTCCACCTACCTGTTAAAAAACAGAGAAATATTTATACTGGGCACATGAGATTATCATATTCATTATTTCAATTCAATTTAATGTCAATCACAATTATCAATATAACCGCACAAAATCACAATCATATTCTTTTCAACAATCTACCACATCTAAACCACTAGGATGTAGGGGTGGATGTATCGACCCGCAACATCCAATTTAATGTCAATCACAATAATCAATATAATCACACAAAATCATGATCATATTTCTTTCAACAATCTACCAACAATCTATCACATCTAAACCACTAGGGGTTAGGGGTGGATGTATGGACCCGCAACATCCGCCCGACCTTACCTGACAGATTTTAAATGGATGCGTGACACATGGCGGGTGAATACAGAGCAAAAATTCCATTCGCGGGTTTAGGTCGGGTTGCATAAACGGTCGATTTGATTTGCTCACCCGACCCGACCCGATATATCCCCCACTCCCCCTTTCATTTCAGGTTTGTAGCCCTAGTTCTTAGACAACACTCTCTCTCAACTCTCTCTCACTTGAACGGAGGCGAGCGACGACAGTGGTGGCTAGCGACAATCGGTGACGGTGGCGGCGAGCAGCGAGCAGCGATCGAAGCATCGATTCGAAGGTATTCTCCTCCTCTCTTCTTCTCATCTCTTCTCTTCTTGTCTTTGATGGATCTTCTCTTCTCAACCTTTTTCTGTGAGTGTGTTCTGTGTTCTGTGTTCTCAATAGAATATATAAAATGAGATAGAGACTCCAGTGAGGTCCAAGTGATGAGAGTGATTAATGTTACATATACATAATATATATATATATATATATAGAGAGAGAGAGAGAGAGAGATGGGAGTATGAGGAGAGGATTGAAACACGAATGCAAGCCAGTTGTTGATCTTTGGTTGTCCATGAATTATGATCTCATTTAACTCTGGTATTTGGATTGATTTATTTGTTTTTTAATGTGTGTAGATTATTTATGAAAAGTAAATTAGGATTGATTCGTTAATTGTAGCCAAACAATTTCTACCATTTGTATCTGCAATCTTGATCATGCAATTTATGTTTGTTTCAGTATAAGTCATTAAGTAGAAATTTTCAATTGCTGATTTTGTTGAATTATATTTCTATTTAGGCCAAGTTTGGCAAGTTCATAAAAAGCCAAAAAGTCAAAAAATTACTCAAAAAGTTAAAAAGTTAACACTATTCACCAAAAGTCAACAATTACGGCTACACAAATCCCAATCCTAATTTTTCCCTTTTTAAAAATTCTCCCTACACACTAATTTATACAATTTTTTAATACACATTTTCCATAAAAAGTCAAAAAGTTAACCCAAACATTCATATTTTTTTCCTCAATTTTTTAATCCAAAAAGACAAAAAGTGCACTTATTTAGGACACCCCAAACAACCCCTAATAATTATTATTTAGCAGCCAGGTGGGTGAAGTTTCATCTAACAGGTTTTTCCGCCCCTCTCTTATTGCAATATCATATACTACTTCACCTAATTTGTGAAAATTTGTATCTAATCATGAATGTCAAGGGTGCAAAACTTCAAGGATCAATCAATCACACATCTTGTTTCATTTTAAACCATAGAGTGGTTGTTTCTTACTTGGTCAAAAGCAGGTTGATTGTTAATTTTTTCATTTCTCTTTTTTTGCTGGATGTAGATATGATTAATAGTTAATGCGTTCTTCTTTAATTATTCTGCATATTTTGAATGATTTTTTATTGGTTTTTGGCAGTTTATTTGATAGTCTTTTGGTCATGGATCCTCTAAGCGAAGAAACATTTTTTGTGAGTCCTAATGTTGAGCCCGAATAATCTTCTATTGACTCTTCTACCCAACCTAATGCTCCCCGTCCTAAAATGATGTGTTCTTTTATTTAGATCATATCATTTCTTTATTATTTTACACATCTTTTCTTAGTAAAAAAAAAATTAAAAAATAAAAAATATATTTATTTAAATCATTCTAAATAAACCATTTGAAAAATTCCAAGACTCCTTAAACCGTTGTGGATCGGAGGAAGATTCGCTTAAACCGGAATCCTGTTCGACCCAACACCCTTGTATTTGTATTCGCTTGAACCGGACCCATAGGACTGATCAGAGGAGGATTCGCTCAGGTCTCTCTCTCTCTCTCTCTCTACACTCTCTTTCTCTCTCTATATGTATGTGTATATAGGTCGTCTATGTGATGCATTTGTATACATTTTGATGTATTGTGTTCATAAATCTTAATGTTGCCTCAGATTCTTTGTTTTAATGTTCAGTCCTATCATCTTTATCTGTGTGTGCAATTAGAGATACAATAATTCTAGGGTTTTTATATAAAAATTGCCCATTGCCTCTCAATGATTGTTTGTAATTTTGTTGTGCTTTTTATCTTTGGGAATTATCTAAAAAAAAAAAAAAACTATGTGAAAGTGATGAGGGATTTTATTTTTTATTTTTCAATTTTTTACACCAAATTAAATTCTATGTTTTTGAAAAAAATTCAAAAAACTGATTTTGAAAACCAAACCAGTATAAGGTTTGTGAATAAAGTAAAAAAATTGGTGGTGAAGCCATTGAAATTTTGTTGTACACTAATTTGAAGAGAAAAACAGTAAAAGTCTTGGTTATGCATTATTTTAGTCTTTTTTTTTGTTTTGTATTTAATGTATTTATGATATGATTACGATGTCATTTGTTTGGTTCTGGTTAGCCCAATTTCTTCTCTGGTTTGTCGAATGACCAATATTTAAAACATTTGAAATAAAAAATTAGATCTTGACAAACTAGCAACTTGATATTTATAATCTCTCTTTTGTGAAGTTGTTTTAATTGAAATTGAAAATAGGCATCTTGATTGATAATTGTTACCAGGGATTTTGGTTGGTAAATAAGCAAATTTTATAACCAAAAGGAATGTACAACAAGGTTGAAGTTAGGAAGTCACGAAAGAAACATACTACCGCCAAAGGATGCAATCCTATCCTACCAAAAGATCAACTCCAGAGATTAGGTTAGGAGTGTAACAAAGTCAACAAAAATTACCTAGAGGCTAGATAGATGCCAAACAAGGCAATCTCTCACATCCTAGGAGGACTGGATCCATCAAATAAACCTTATAATCAAGCTGAGGGATCTTTGTTCTCCCTTCTTGTTTTCTAGTTTCTACGGTGCGGTAGATAGCTTGCTTGATGGTTAAGACGCGGCTTCTTTAACTTCGTGGAAATATTAGCAATAGCTTTTTCTCTAGAAATTTTGAGATTCAAAAGTCTCTCTCTATATATTTTTTTTCTTTTCCCTTTATTTTACTTCAATTTCCACATTATTTGAGGTGCTCAAGCTTCTATAATTCCATTATTATTTACTTAACTGTTCTCTATGCTTTCTTCATTTCTAGCCTTCTCTTTATCTCTAGGAAGTACACTTCCTCTTCCTTTGTAGGTTGGCATGATGAAAGGTTAGCAAGCATCTTGGGACATACATTTGATTAGGTGAGCCCAGTGTTTAGGTGCACTGAGGCGATAAGGTCTCCTATAGCCTAAGCGCGAGGCAAGGCGCGCGCCTCACCAAGGCAAGGTGCGTGCCTCACCAAAGCAAAGTGCAAGTAATAGAAGGAAAGCAAAATTATAAAATCGGCGAACTTTTTAACATAACAAATATATATAGAATTTCAAAAATCATAACCATTTCCGATAATCTTTAAACATAAAATTCAATCTTCTAAAAATTAGAAATATAATATCCAACAAAAGATATAAAGCATAACATTCAATCTTTTATCACCTTCTTCTCTCTTTTGACCACATTTGGTTATTTTATAGTGAGAAGTTTTGAATCCCTGTGGGTATGCCCACAAAAAAAGCATTTAATCAGAAGTTGGAGTAGAAAAATAGGTAAAGCCCATGAAGCCCACGCCTCATGCCTCGAAAAAAAGCCCTCGCTTCAACACCTAAGTTGCGCCTTGTGTATTGGGCCTCAAGCTTTTAGGTGCACCTTTTAAAACACTGAATGAGCCACCTTTTGATGTAGAGCCTTCTTCCCTTGAATTAGAGTCTTCCATTTATAATGTTTTAATTAATTGGGAAGGAACTACCATTAGCTTCCTTGCCTTTATATTCCAGCACTTCTTGCCTTTCACCAATACAATTCCCCCTTGCTTGGATTCTAAATTCTTGTTTAGGCCGTGAAGGCTTGGGAAGATAATTGGATTAGATGGACATGAAATGGATGAGTGGACAAAAGCCTTTAGACACATTTTTGGGGCTTCCATGGCAGTTCACTAAATTCAAAAGGTTGACCACAACAACTATGATTTAACTTGAAAGATTTTAGTATGTCTCAGTTCGCTTGGATTTCCATGCACCGTAGCATAGGTTGGGTAAATATACATAGTATTATAATTTATATCTACTGTAGATATAATACTATGTATATTTACAGGTTGGTATACTTCTATTTTGAGTAGGTTTATCAACGTACGAAAGGTGTTCCAACAATGTTTGCCACAAAGCCATGACCATCTGCGGTCCATAGTTGGCATTTTATAGAGTTTGACCCAAACCTTTATACTAGAAAATTCACATTTTGATTATTGTGTTTCTGTTTATGACCTTCTAATGGTTAACAATTTAACCCAACATGATATGGTCCTTCATCCAAAATACTGTCCAATGATTATTCATTTATGATTTTGAAGATGAAGGCGCGTTTATCAAGAATCACTACACCCATAATTTCATTCTTCCATGTCTTTTCAGACGAAGATTTCACATAATGAACGAACAATCTCTTATTAAGAAAGTGGCCAATTAAAACAAAGTACCAATGATAAAATTCTTTTTCAGAAATTTCAGGAGGAACATCATATACGATTCTCCATTTATTTGCTCAACGTCAGAACCTCGATGTTTAGCCATTGATTAACCTTTTTCATTAATTTTGACCAAGACACAGGCGTATTGGACTTGTCCAATTATTGGAACCCCAATTCAAATGAATCAGTTACCCAAAACCGGGTTCTGTGCTTTGGACAACATGCCCAAATCAAAATTTGTTGTGGAAGAATGACATCTAACATCTTCTTCTCCAAAACATCTAACATGATAAGTTGTACAAATTTAGCTAGGCATATCAGGCAACTAGGCCATTTTCTCCATGGTAGCGACTGGCTGTAATGGAGCCTTCTAACTTTGACACTTAGAAACTTGATTAGCATTTTCAATTCAGGAGCATCTAAGTCTCGGTTTCATGTATGACAATCGCTGCAACAGCTTTGCAATAGTTAATCCATCTATTACAATATTTGATGCAAGTGCACAAATCTTCACATCAACATAAGCGCTCGCTCATCATCAACTAAACACTCATTTGAGTTTTCTTTGAACAAAACTAATTACTATGTCCATTTGTAGAAGCAAACAATATACGAGATTTCTCTTTCGGCATTGCTCGCTCAGATTCTTATGTCGCAATTCTAGTGTCTGCTTAGGTGAAAAGTCTTGATGTCTTACCTTGATATCACCCATAAGGCGAGATGATTGAACAGGGGCTCCTCGAGAACTTAAACTTCATACATCTCTTCATCAGAAACGCCTTCAGCTTTAGTAGGAATCTCTCTCGATCATTACCCAAAGAAAGCTTCTTTGTGTTTCTTTTTGATGCAGTCTTTTTGGATTTGAATTTCCTCCTAATAGATTCAATGGGGCTCTATGGAGAGAAAATCCTACATAGATGAACTCTCAAAGAAGCCATTTGAAGCAAATTGAACATTCTTTCAATTTCTTCAGATCTATACCATTTATTAACCAAACCATTCTTGTAATGGAACTAAAATTATATATATATAAAAAAAAAACGTTATATGATTAAGGAACTCTAAATCTAGAATATAGACAAGAAAACAAAATTTAAATGATTAGAAATCTGCTCCAAAAGAGATGCACTAATTGAACAGAGATACTGCGGTGGAGATAAAAAAAAAATTTTAAACTTGTGACAAAGAATTGGTACTGATCTGAGATCTTTGACTGGAAACAATTTACATTTGATATTGAAGTGCAACCTCAGCAACTTAATTTCAGAATGATAATTAAAATGATTTAATTTATAGCTAAACAAGGTAATTCCATCTGCTCAAATCTATACATGCACCTATCGCAAGTGCTACTACTCTCTTCAATTACTCACCAAAGTCAATAAACAACATACTCGAGTTTCATACCACTAATATCACAACAAAATTGGTCCCTTTAGCATATCCTTTTATCACCATATTTAGATCATGATGTTTGTGTGAAAATCTGACTAAAGTAATTTTAAAAACAAATTCTACATGTTGGAAAACCTAGGGAAGAGGTTTCTCCAATGTCAAAAGCATACCTGATTGAACTTAATGTCACTAGGGTGCACATTGCAAACATGGACTGGACCACACTGGATTGATGTACTTTGAGGCAACAAAAAAATTAAGGTCCATAATTTATAGCATTAATCTCAAGAGTATCATCTCAATATATGCAAATCAAGCAAATATAATAATATATATTTATACATCTAGTGTAAAATTATAATCAAATAAGATGCGAGTATTCAACACTTATTTATACCTGAATATCCAAACAACGCCAATTACTAGCCATTTAGGTTAGACATTAAACTTTAAAAACAATTTGGACATTGATAATAAAAGAGACATCAAATGAAGCAATTGGGACGTACCAAACTAACTAACAATCAAGATCCACTTATATAATACTCTTCTCATTAAAACCGTGCCTTGCCATACAAATAGTTAAACTAAAAAGATTGAAATAAATTCTCTAACCATGAAGACATTTACTTGGTTCAAATATTACTCTAGCATAGCAAGCCTTGTCATACAATTATAGTAAAAACTTGGTCAATTTACTAGTTGTATCTTACAAGATTAATTAACAAATCATGGTTGAACCAATTAAATAATTAAAGAAGAGTAGTGATATACAAACTACTCATACATAATTTTCATACAAAATGGCGTGATTCAGAGTGGACCTTTCTCGTTTCAAAATAAAACACCCGTGAACAACAATGGTATTGCCACATTGTTCTTATGTTTTTTTTTTTTTTGGTCTATACAAATAACATTTTCCATTAAAGAGAAAAACTTTTTTAATTCCATCCTTTTGCAATACAAACTTTGAACACAAAAATTATCATTATGGCAAAAATAAACAAAATTTGACAAAGAAATAAATGGCAATACATCAATCCCTAGTGCACTTATCAAAAATACATCACTTTTGTTAACTTCTTACAGATTAGACCATGTGAGCATCATTCAAAAGAACATTTTCATTTATTTGTGATATTTTAATATATTAGATATATTTAATATCCAAATGTATAGATATAGTTTTCTATGTATTTAGAAAAAGTGATTCAATCTTTATGATTCGATTCGATTCGCAATTCGGTGCAAGGCTATTTTGATTCACGATTTGAATCCTAATTTGACAACTATGGCTCATATGTATAGAACGTTGTGATTATAAACAAATGACAAACAACCACAATAGGATATCAACCCCAAATCAGTCCCCATTGAGCAATCCACAAATTAGTAAGCTACATATGAAATAGAGAACAATAATAAAATTTGTATACCAGTACATACATATATATGTCCATACACAAACACACACACATATATATACACACAAGCAAAGGGTATGAGTTGATTTCCTTCACCCTACCTCATGAAATTCACCGGAAAATGAACAAAAGAAGGCCAGAATGCCATCCTGCAGCCTCTCTCTACCTGCTGTTGCTGCTGCCTCATTTGGCTCCACCCTCAAAACCAAAATCACCCACTTGGTCTCCTCAAAATCACCCTCCTCTTCTCTTGTTGTTGGAGAAGAGGAAAAATCCAATAACCCTAGCTTATATAAGATGCTTATATACATGAGTAGTTTATGTCAAATTCTCAACTTATCTCAAGTTTGTTAAAAATTAAAGTAATGCCCCCAAGCTTCCCAAAGTTACAAAAATGACCCAAATCCTACTAAAGTTGCCAATATATGCTATTATGCCATTGAGTCACATTCTTTTAAGTCAATTTAAATGTTTAAATATGCAGTGCAGAAAATATGTACAAGAATATTTTATTTTTTTTCAAAACGTCTGCCAACAAAACATGCATAGTTACGATCGTTTCACAAAGTTATTCTTATTAACAAGAAATGTTAATTAAACTCTTGCCAAAAAAAAAAAAAATTAAATTTACTATTCATAAAATTATGGGAAATTACAAGGCCGCTTTGGAGCGGATATCAGGCTTGGTGAAGCTTATGTTGAACTCAATTATAGGTGAATTGGGTAAGATGTTTAATTCTGTCAATTGTCTTTGTAAGTACTTGATTCAGTATTGGAATGACTTTGGGTGTTGGGATCATGGTTTTCTTATAGAATTGGGTTTTTATGGGGTTTCCTTGTTAAATCATTGTCTCGTGGTTGGTTGCTCTTTATTTGATGGGATTGATGGATTAGATTGATTAATTGCCATATTAATAGATTAATTAATTGATGGGTTAATGAATTTTATTTTGTATTGGCTGGAAATCAATTAATCTCTTGGTTATTTTTATTATTGGTAAAACTTGGATAAGTCTGTACTAAAAATGCTTTACATGTCTAGAGACATTTTATAGTAGCAAAGAAAGATAATTGAGGGCCCTAGAAGCCTCTTTACCGCATGATATTTGACAAAATTTGTGGTCAATATTATCTCGATTTATATGATAACCTCGTTGTCAAAGTGGGTAAGTATATAACAACTCATTGAAAGAGCAAAACCTCAAGCACTCGTTCTTATCATGTCCACTAAGAAAAGTGGTTCTAGGAATGCCAAGCAGTCAATCATATTAATACATCAATGAGGTAATGGTTTTATTTTTTAATTAACCCTTTGTGGCATGATAGAGCTATCAATTTTGAATGTTTTGTGCCATGATAACGACTCCTTTGCAATAAAGATCTAACACTTTCTTATTGTTTTTAAAGGCTTGTCACTTATATTGCAATTGAATAGAATGTTTAGTGTGTATATTTTTGGTTAATTAATTTGCAGTTTCCTTCACCACTCTTTCATATTGTTGCTTCGTACTTTTTGTAATGGCGTAGTTTCCGCTGTTATTCATTCTATTTCTCAATGATTTGCCTCAATTTTATGTTTTATCAGATGGAAACAGTGGAGGCATCAATTCCAGATACCAGATTAGTAGAACAAGAAAATGTTGAAGGTAATAATACTGAAATGGAGGGTTTCAAATATCGTGTTGATGATATGTCCACAAAGGTTGATAAGGTAAGATCCACTGGTGAAGTAGAAACTAATAGTGGTTTTAATGATTTGGTCATTTTAAACTGTCATCAGTTTGGTTCTGTATTTTTTTGTTCTTCTCTTGATGTTTCCAGTTAATGATAATTGGGTCATAGAAATTGGCGTACAAGTATAAAAAAATTTATATCTGTTTATATATTTGATTGATCTTACGTGTCAAAACCAGTTATTTGATTCGTAGGGAATCTCAAGAGTTTATTGTACTCCAAATCATGATAAATCTAACTAAATCGCAAGCATCTATTGTATCCAAAGTTACTATAAAACCAAAGATTTTACAGAACACAAAACTTAGTGAAAATAAGATCAATCTAAAAATAAAAATGTTACGTTAAAACATAGGAAAATCAAAGAAACAAATCCCATAAATTTGTTAATAAGAGAACTGGGAGAGAGACAGCCTAGAATCTTTACTATTACTAACTGATAAGTATTTATACCCTTTCCTAGTTGAACCCCTAAAACTAAATCCTAACTGAAGGAGGAATCTAATGTGGCTTTAAAACGAATGGGTTGCGAGCAAGGTTTTAAAAAGCGGCCGCAACCGTTACGTAACGGTTATTGTGGTTATCGCCACTCGTTATGGCTGCTTTTGCAGTGTGATTGAGATTCACAAGTGTGTTGGCCGTAGCGGCTGCCGTAGGGGTTGTAACGGTGCCTTAACAACTGTAACGGCCTGTTACGCACCGTTACGTAACGGTTCCGAACCGCTTCTTTCGAAAAAACACAAAAAAAAAATATTTGAAAATGGGGGAAGAGGGATAGAGAGAAGAGGGAAGATAAAAAGAGAAGATGGAGGAGGAAGAGAGAGAGAGAGAGAGAGAGAAGAGGGAAGATAAAGAACACGTTATTGATTTGTTGAAACTGTAAGACCTATGTTATTCTATTCAGCTGCCATCACTCAACCATTTTGTTTGTGTGTGCCTATCTATATATTGTTTGAAATAATAATAATAATAATAATAAGTGTGGTCATTATCTATTTAGCTTGATTAAAATATGTATATATAGACATATATATATTTAGGCTCTTATTTATTCTCTTACTTTTGTCATTGTTTATCTTATATATAATAGTTAGTGATTGATTTTTTGTATAATATAAAGTTATTAATTATTAAAATAAAATGTAAAAAACTCAATTTATAGTGATTTAAAAATATGAAATATATTAGATCAAACTTAAAAATTTACAAAAATTTATCAATATTTATTTTACACCCAATAAATATAATCATGGAAAAAAAAATATTTGTATCGGTAAGTTTTTTTCAAATTGTGCGAAAAATAAAAAAATTCATGGTTCCGGTTACCGCAACCGTTACGCTACGACCTTTACACTCCGCAATAGCAACCGTGTCACCGTTTTGTCATTGTTTATCTTATATATAATAGTTAGTGATTGATTTTTTGTATAATATAAAGTTATTAATTATTAAAATAAAATGTAAAAAACTCAATTTACAGTGATTTAAAAATATGAAATATATTGGATCAAACTTAAAAATTTATAAAAATTGATCAATATTTATTTTACACCCAATAAATATAATCATGGAAAAAAAAATATTCGTATCGGTAAGTTTTTTTCAAATTGTGCGAAAAATAAAAAAATTCACAGTTCCGGTTACCGCAACCGTTACGCTACGACCTTTACACTCCGCAATAGCAACCGTGTCACCGCCACCGTGACGGCGACCGCAACCGCTTTTCAGAACCTTGGTTGCGAGACTTTTTAATAAAATTGTGTCTGGCTGCCTGAACACTCTCTACATGGAGTCATTTTAATGCTGGCATGGTAGACATTCTGCTCTAGTGGCAACTTTCTGTCCAAAGGCAGCATCTCAGTTGCTCTAGCACCCTCCATACCTGCTAGGACAGGTCTTACATTGTAGCCGGTGAGCTAGACTGACTGCTTTAGTACTACCTATCAGTCTGCATTCTGGTCCGTTTCCTATTGGGCGCTAGACGCAGGTGCTAGAACACTATCTAGTAGCATGCTTCTGCCCTAAAATTCGTCAACCCACTAGACCAGCTTCTCTTCAATCCATCAAGCGGCTTCCCCAAATGTGCTCAACTGGCTCCATTTCACTTCTTCCTTAGTTCAATGCCTTTGCATTTCCCTTGATCATCGCCCAAATCACCAAGTTCACCCTATAATACAAAAATTAACTCGTTAGCAAAACACTAAGCATAAGAGGAAGGAATTATTATAATATAAGCACGTCAATGCCCAACACACTTTCAAGCTTTGATTATTTTCTCTGGTATTATTCTAGGGATATTTGGCCAAAAGTCCCTCATTGGTACCCTTTAAAGTGAAAAGGACAGTCCAAACTTTTTTAATTTTGTAAGCCCCCTGGAGAAGAAGGCACCTTGTTCATCAAGGACAAATAAATTTGTCTCCATTTTTTTTTATAGACAATCTTACCCTTGGTAACTACTTCTATATTTCAAACTTTTAAATGATAAAACTTTTGATCTATATATTAATTTTTAATAAAATTAGTAGTTTTAGAATCCTCTCATCAAGATCTATGAAACAAGATTCATATTGGCTATGAAATTCTGTATTAAAAAAAATCGTAATTTTTTTTCCTTTTGAAACTAATGTTAAGAATAAAATTTTACTATGAAATAGAGTAAAATTTTATTGTTTACATCAATTATGATATAAGTTTTTTTTTTGATATAAGTTTTTTTTTTTTTTTTTTTAACAATTTCGTAGTCAACTTGGATCTTGTTTGATATATCTTGATGAGAGCATTCTAAAAATACTAATATTATTAAAAACCAACATCTAGATAAAAAATGATATCAATTTAAAGTTTAAAATATTAAATTAGTCACTAAGGATATTTTGGTACTGGTGGTGCGTGTTGGACTTTTCAAGAAAAATATTTTGTGCTTGTCTTTAATGCATTAAAGTTTTATTATGAGGGGTCTCTAACCAAATCCCCCTATATTCTACTCCATTTTGTTTTCAATAATATTTCTGCTAACTAGCACTTCTGTTATGGCCTTAAGTAAATTAACAACAATGTCTTATATAGGTTGAATGTTAGATCCTCCTATTCACATTTTGATTTTTAGAGACATGGTGAATCTGTGAATATAAATCTTTTAGTTTCTGATAGCGCAGTAGATGGATATGTTATTATGTTGGTTCATCTTTTTAGCTGCTTGACATTGCCAACTTTTGGATGTCTTACTCTATAATTTGTTTGTGTATTAATATTATATTTTTCCTTTCAGCTTGAGCAAACATTGATTGAGGTAGAACAGTACTACTCGACTACAAGTAAGAAACAATTGAATACTTCCAAAGGTAGCTCAATTGTGAAGGACAAAGACAAGGAGAAACATATTTCTAACTTTAAGAAGCGGCAGCAAGATGCTTCACGTAGAGAAGCAGCTGCAGCAAAAAGAATGCAAGAGCTTATGCGCCAATTTAGCACAATATTTCGTCAGGCAATCACCCATTCTTTCCTTGTCCCTTTCAGACTTTGTCATGTTTGTTTTTGAGTTACATTGCAGCCACTTAAATTAGATGTATAGCATTGATGTAGATCTTGAAATATGTTTCTTCTGGGCCAGAACTTCTGGCCCTTTAACTGACATATGATATGGATCGTTATCACTTAGTTGCTTGAGAATTTAAAAAGCTATGTGAGTGATTTATTTGTGAATTTGCATCTCGTGTCTCTTCTTTTACTTGCAGATCACCCAGCACAAATGGGCAGGACCTTTTATGCAGCCTGTAGATGTAGTGGGCCTTGGTTTGCATGATTACCATGAGGTATATATAGCTATTCCCCTTCCCCCCTACCTTGTGATTAAATATCCTGATGCAGGACGAATAGGGACAGCGCTGGATTTTCAAAACAGATGGTATTTGATGGCCTAAACAGTGAGTAAATTATGGTTTCAAGAGTAAATTGAAGGCTAATAGGTAGGGAGGGAAAGGGATTAGGGTTGATTTGAGGGTGATTAGATGGAGTTTGAGGTTGAAAAATGCACTTTTAGAAGGCTGTAAATAGTAGTCCGAGAATAACCAATTGAAACATAAAAGAAGAAAGGAGAAGAAGAAGATAGGTCCATGCATCACACCTAGGGTTTGATTGCATCACACAATCCATAAGAGGCTTCAAAGCTCTTTTAACGTTTTATAAAATATCGACTCTATTGAATTAGAGGCTTTACATGGCTTTATATAGACTATAGAAATTTTCTAAACCAACTAGAATAAAATTAAAAAAAAACTACTATAATATCTTAAACTTCCAAAACTAATTTAAAATCAAATAAGAAACATAAATAAAACTCAATTAAATAATTTGACCCACAAAACGACCCATGGGCGACCCATATAACCCATATCAGTAAATATAAAATTATCAAAATACCCCTAATCTTAAAAATCCTAGAAAACATAAAAATAATAATACAATAAGATTCTAATAATACTAGAAACATAATTATAGAAGATTTCTATCAATTTCTTTATGAAATCATGCCAATATCCAAGCATCATCACTTCTTTGAACTTAGCCTTCTTTGAGCTTCTTATACTCTGCATCATTCTCCCTTGGTTGGAAAAAACTCGACCTCGAGTTTTGAAGTGTTGAAGTATAAGCATCCACAAGCTTTGAAATTGCATCCACGACTTCATGTTAAAATCTTTAAGTTGTTGTCGCCTTTTATTTGTTGGAGATGGGAGCAAAAATTTTGAGAAATTGATCTTGTCCTTCATGATATTAAATATGTCGGGAATGACAAAATCAATTGAAGGAATTGAAACATTCTTAAATTGATCTAAATCTTGGGCTGCAAAATTCATTCCATTCATTCTGTTCTTATTTGGCTCTATTGGAGAGAATTTAGGCAGCAAATTGGTGACTTGTAAAAGCCATATTTTGCTCAGCACTAGTAGTTGGTTGTGTCAATTCTTAAGTCCCTACAGCTTCCATAGCATCTAATTCCTCGTTTTGGACCCTAACCTTTACTTGAGTAATAACTAGATCTTCTTGAGGTGCTTTTAGATCATCAATAAGTGCCTCGTTATCCTTCAAAATCTGGCCATTTTTCGTTTTGGGCAAAATCTGATTGTTTTCTTTCGCTTTTGACTTCAGTTGCGCATCTTAACAACAATTTTTGGTTTTGGTGCTACTTGTGATGCAGGTCTCACACAATTTTGTGGTGGTTGTAGCAATCCTTCTTTTGTAGTAGGCTTCAAAACTGTAGATTTCTCCCTAAATTTTATGAAAAACTCAAATTGCATAGCCGTTTCAATAGCATCTTTGAGATCTTGCAAATATGCATGAGACATCTCTTCTTTAATTACAAATCTCAACCCACTTTTGAAACGAGCAATAGTCATCCGTTCACTTTCTACCATTCCAGATTTGATAAATAATTCATTGTATTTTCTTGCATAAATAATCACACACATATCACCTTGCTTAAGAGTATACAATTGATCAAGAAAATCATCTTGAAGATCCCTCAAACGAATATGTTCTCTAAGAAGCGCTTTATCTTCTTCCCTAGTCAATCCACTTGTATTGGATCTCCCACAATGTGAAAACATCATGGCGAAACCTTAAGCTCTGATACAAACTGATGCAGGACGAATAAGGGCAACGCTGGATTTTTAAAACAGAGGTTATTTGATGGCCTAAACAGTGAGTAAATTATGGTTTCAAGAATAAATTGAAGGCTAATAGGTAGGGGGAGGGATTAGGGTTGATTTGAGGGTGATTAGATGGAGTTTGAGGTTGAAAAATGCACTTTTAGAAGGCTGTAAATAGTAATCTGAGAATAGCAAATTGAAACATAAAAGAAGAAAGGAGAAGAAGAAGATAGGTCTAGGCATCGCACCTAGATTCCATAGGCATCGCACCTAGATTCCATAGGCATCACACCTAGGGTTTGATTGTATAACACAATCCAAAAGAAGTTTCAAAGCTCTTTTAACTTTTTATAAATTATTGACTCTATTGAATTAGAGGTATTACATGGCTTTATATAGATTTTAAAAATTTCTTAAACCAACTAGAATAAAAAAAAGGGGTACTTACATGTAGGTCCTAATACGTGGACTTATTGTCTAATAGGTCCTATAAGAAAAATTTGTCATAAAAAAAGTCACTAATTGTAAGTTTTAGCGACAATTTATAAAAATTATGAATTTGTCATAAAAAAAGTCACTAATTGTAAGTTTTAGCGACAATTTATAAAAATTATGATAAAAAAGTCACTAATTGTCAATTTTTAGCGACATATATAAAAAATTGTTGCAAAAAAATTATTTTTAACGACCATTTTACCAAGATTTATTTTCAATAGGACTTGATGGGAATTAAGTCCAACTATTGGGACTTATTGGTAGTTTACCCTAAAAAAAAAAGGAAACTATTACAATATCTTAAACTTTCAAAACTAATTTAAGACCAAATAAGAAACATAAATAAAACTCAATTAAATAATTTGACCCACAAAACGACCCATGGGCGACCCATATAACCCATGTCAGTAAATATAAAATTATCAAAATACTCCTAATCTTAAAAATCCTAGAAAACATAAAAGTAATAATAAAATAAGACTCTAATAATTCTAGAAAAGTAATTATAGAAGATTTCTATCAGGTTCTCTGTGAAATCATGCCAATGTCCAAGTATCATCACTTCTCTGAACTTCTTATACTCTGCATCATATCCTTATGGCTATTAACTAACGTACAAATATGTGTGTCTTCTCTCTGTCTCCTGATGATGTACAGGTTATCTAAGCTCTTAAAAAATAACGTTGAATTTTTTTTTTTTTTTTGGGAAAAGGGCATGGCGCTTAGTATTCCGTTTGTGATTTATAATTTCTCAAAAGAAGGAAATATACGACTAGAATGTATATAGATATGCATATGCTAGTATTGTAAAATCTGACTTGCGGGATTTTTATTGCTACAACTGTTGTGGCCTTTTTCAATTTTCCCTCTATTTCTTATTTTGGAGTTTTTCAGCATTTGTCTTTAATTAATTTGTTAATATTGTCTACTAGGTCATTGAAAAACCCATGGACTTTAGCACCATAAAGGCCAAAATGGAGGCCAAGGATGGTACTGGCTACAAGAATGTCCGGGAGATATGTGCAGATGTGAGGTTAATATTTAAGAATGCAATGAAGTATAATGAAGAACGAGATGATGTCCACGTAATGGCCAAAACTTTACTTGCAAAATTTGAAGAGAAGTGGCTGCAACTCCTGCCAAAAGTTGATGAAGAGGTAACGTTGCTACTCCCAGGAGTTCTGGTGCTCAGTAGTGTGCCTACTTTAGTCCAGACATGTTAAGTAATTTGCTGCTGTTATCATTCATTAAGTTCCAGTTACTTGCAGGAAAAAAGACGAAAAGAGGAGGAAGCAGAAGTGCAGCTAGATATGCAGCTTGCTCAAGAGTTTGCTCATGCCAAAATGGCTAGGGATTTAAGCAATGAGGTAGCCAAAATTTCAAAGCCATTTCGCTAAGCAAAATCTGTTTTTTTTTTCTTTTTCTTTTTTGATAAGCAAAGGTTATGTTGTGATTGTATTACTATATCCGAAACGTGCCAAGAGGTGCAGCATTTACAAAAAGTCACTCAACAAAAAAAATGAGCTCAACAAAAAGAAAAGGATTCATTAAAAAAATCCTTTTCACCAAAAATAATAAAGTATGCAAAAGAAGCATTTTAAGCTTATAGATTCTTGACCCCAACTCACAAAGCAAAATCTTGTGAGAAGAAACGTATTACAAGTTCATAAATGTAGTTTTTCATGTTAGCATAGATAATTGAGTCAAGAGAGTCTAGGAGGTGATTTGAATAAATCATTTTGGATCTTTTTCAGCTTGATGAAGTTGATCTCTATTTGGAAGAACTCAGAGAACTGGTACTTCAAAGTTGCAGGTTTGTCCTTGTGCAATTACCTCAACGTTTGAACTCTACTGATTCGAAGGTCCTTTAAAAATAACTGTTTTGATCAAAATGTGTTTGGTGCTTTTATTGAAATGTATGTATAAAGACTTGGATATAAATTCATATCTTAAGGCTTGGCCAGGGACTTTTCTGGTGAGATTCATTTGTTGTATCTGTGAGAATATATACCATACTAATATTATTCTCACAGCTTCCCACTAGCTGGACATGAACCTGTATCAAAATTATTTTACAAATGCACTTACTAAAGAATCCCAAGGATTTGGTCTGGTGGTCAAGACTTGGGGCCTGGGAGTGTGTCTATGGTCTCATGTTCAAAACCTCCTACGTGCAAACAATTTGTTGGGGCTAGTACATACGGGGCTTTGCCCGGCTTTAATTGGGACCTCCCATTAGTGGACTGTGGGATTGGTCCCCTAGATTAGTTGGTCTAGTAGGTTGGATACTGAGTTCTCAAAAAAAAAAAATAAATAAATAAAATAAAAAAAGCTCTTACTAAAGGGTGGGTTCATGATAAATGATAAATTATGGAGATTTGTCTAGTATTTGTTTGCTTTTTCAACGATGCATTTTCACGTGAATGGCAGTTAATTTCACAATTCAAGTAAAGGAACGATCCAGTTTGTGTAATTGACTCAACATGAGTTGCAAATTTACCCAATTGAATCTGTTGTTATTTTTGCATCTCCATGGCAATCAACTGTGTCTATGAAATATAATGTAATTTGTCTGCAAGTTCGATGCATTATTTTAGAATCTCCTCTAAAGAATACTAATTCTGATATCATCATCTCAGAAAGATGACTACTGAAGAAAAAAGAAAACTTGGAACAGCGCTTACCCAATTGTCTTCTGATGATCTCAACAAGGCACTGCTGATCGTTGCTCAAAATAACCCAAATTTCCAAGCAACAGCTGAAGAGGTGGAACTTGACATGGATGCTCAGGTGACCATGCTTTTCACAATTTTCTTTGTTGATTATCTCCGTCTAAATCAGGCGCACTAAATGTTCTGTAAACATGATTTATTGACAGAGCGAATCCACATTATGGAAGCTAAAGATTTTTGTGAAGGAAGCACTGAAAGTTCAGGGTAAGAGTACAGCAAGTATGGGTGACAACCACCAGCACCACAACGATAATAACAACAAACGGAAACGAGAGATTTGTGATGCTCTTGCTAAGACTTCGCAGAAAAGGAGTAAAAAGCTTCCCTAGTATGTATTGCGGAGTACAGGTAAAACTTTTAAAATGATTCTATGAATCAGAATTGATTTCTTGTTTCTTGCAGAAGGTCAATGAAGAGGAGAAAAAGTTAATTTTGGTTTAACTCTGGTTCTTGCTACTAGTTTTATATGTTTGGGAAATTAAAATCAGTAGCAGATATTTGTGACCATTTTTCTGTTGCTTAATAAATGCATACTATAGATGCCTTATATTATGTAGATCAGCAAATTATGTTAGTTTATGGTCCATTGTGACCTTAACCTACATTGCTGCAACTGTACATATGGGCTTGGAGATGAAATTAAATGGGTTATTGCCTAGACTTGGTTTGTGTTGAAAATAAAAATGTTATTTTTTTGTACTCTCTGCATTGCAAGTGTTCTCCAAAATTGCGAAAGATGAAATTGTATTTTCAGGGATAGTGAAGAGATTCTTGATAAACTAATGGAAAATATTAAAGACATTGAAAAATTGATCGATTGGCGTGGAGTCCACCCTTTGGTGAGAGGGGTGGTGCTGTAGTTGGTCTATTTTTTTTTGGGTGTCTGTAGCATAGTTGTAAAATAATTACTGATAGAAATGTTCTTCCAGTAACAGAGAAAGGGAATGAGCTCGAGCAAAGCACTCGTTGGGAAACTTTGTTCCCTCTCTATTTGTGCTATTCCTTTTCATATTGTGAACATGATTGTTTAACAGCATTCTGAATGAATTTGTAGTGGTGGGAAATTTTTTGGAGGCAATGAGATGTTTTAGATGTGTATTGTTATGCTTCAAGGTGGTGTCTAGTATTTCCATTAATCTGGTAAGTGAGATAATTCCAGTGGGCGAAAGTTAATAATGTTGGTTGTTTGGTAGTGATTTTTGGGTTGCATTTGTAGGATTGGGCATTGCCTTGTACTTGCTTAGGTTTACCTATAGACTTTCCTTTCAAGGCTTAAGGTGATGTGGGATGCAGTTGTAGAGTCCGAGAAGAGATTTGTTGATCAAAAGAGGCATTAGCTTTCAATAGGTGGACAAGGTACTCTCATTTGGAGTACTCGATCCAATGTGCTAAGGTACTTCATTTTCTTTTCATTATGCTTTATGTCTATGGTTTGGATGTTAAAAGAAGCTGATGAGGGATTTCTTGTGGGTTGGGATTGGCGATGAATTTAAGTAATCATCTTGTAGACTGGAAGTAGGTGTGCATGCCAATCAAAGGTGTGGGCTGGTGAATGAGAAGCTTGATTTGTTCAACAAACCATTGTTCGGTAATTGGTTGTAGAAATTTTTAGTGGAGAGGGAGCCTCTTGCATAGCTTATTTTATTAGGCAAAAATAGCTCAAATAAGTTTTAAAAAATGCCACTTGGAATATAGGAACTTTAATTAGTAAGACGATGGAGCTGGTAGATATTATGATTAGGAGGAGAGTTAGTGTAGCTTGCGTACAAGAAACTAAATGGACGGGTGAGAAAACTAGGGAAATTGAGGATACCAGTTTTAAACTATATTATAGTGGTAAGGATAGACGTAGGAATGTGGTAGAAATCTTAACTGCCAAGGGTCTTGTGGAGAATGTAGTGACGATCATTAGGAAATGGGATAGGATTATGTTAGTTAAACTAGTTATTGGAGGGAATATAGTGAATGTTATTAGTGCATACGCCCCTCAAGTAAGATTAGATGATCAGACTAAGAGGCATTTTTGGGAGGAAATAGATGAGATCTTATAGGAGATACCCATAGAAGAGAACCTAGTTATATGTGGAGATTTTAATGGCAATGCAGGCATAGATAAATTAGGCTATGAAAGGGTGCATGGTGGATACGGTTTTGGTGACAGAAATGAAGCTGGAGAGAGTATCTTAGATTTTGCTTTGGCTTCTGACCTAGTGGTGGCCAATACTATGTATAAGAAGAGGGAGGAGCATTTAATAACCTTTAAGAGTGGGTCAATTAAGAGCCAAATAGATTACTTCTTAGTGAGAAAAGTGGACTGTTTAAAATGCAATGATTGTAAGGTGATTCCTGAAGAGAGCCTGACCTCTCAACATAGGATTTTGGTACTAGGTTTATGTGTTAAAGGGCAATACCAAGCTAGGAATGATGGTGGGCGTCATAGGATGAGATGGTGGGACCTAAAAGAGGGTAAATTAGAAATACTTAAGAATAGAATGGATAAGGTACTTGGGACTTGGAAGATGATGCTAACAATATGTGGAACTCGATAGCCAATTGTATGAGGAGAATCTCAAGGGAAGTGCTTGGAGAGTCGAAAGGAACGGGACCTAGCTCTAGGGAAATTTGGTGGTGGAGGGAAGCGGTTCAAGCGGTAGTTAAGGCAAAAAAAGAGTGATTTAAAAAGTGACAAAATGATAGAACTGAGGAAAACCTTAAGAGTTATAGATTGGCTAATAAGGAGGTCAAGAAAGTAGTGAGAGAGTCTAAGTTAAAAACTTATGATGACCTATACACTAGACTAGATAGTAAGGAGAGAGAGAAGATGGTACACAAACTTGCTAAGATGCGAGAAAGTAAAACAAGAGATTTTAATCAAGTTCAGTGCATCAAGAGTGAGGATTCTAAGGTATTGGTGAGGGATGAGGAAAGATGGAAGAACTATTTTGAGAAACTATTAAATGAGGAATATGGAGGTACGGCAATAGGGGAAGAAATAGCCAGTAATACGATAAACCAAGATTATAGGTTCTATCGCAAGATTATGAACTTTGAAGTGGAGATTGCACTTAAGAAGATAAAATCAAATAAGGTTTTAGGACCAGATGATATCCCTATTGAAACTTGGAAGTGTTTGGGTAAAAAAGGGGTTGCTTAGTTGACTACGAATATGCCAGATCAGTGGAGGAAGAGTATTTTAGTACCAATCTATAAGAATAAAGAATATGTCCAGAATTGTAACAACTATAGATGAATCAAGCTTATGTATCATATAATGAAAGTGTGGGTGAGGGTGATAAAATGCCGATTGCGAGATATAACAGAGGTGTCAGAGAATCAATTTGGGTTTATGCCTGGCAGGTCAACAATGGAAGTAATCTATCTTTTGAGGAGAGTAATAGAAAAGTATAGAGAAAAAAAAAGAGACATTCATATGGTGTTTATTGACATTGAGAAAGCATATGATAAAGTGCCCTGGGATATAATATGGTGGGTGTTAGCGATGAAAGGAGTGACAAAATTTTACATTGATGTGATTGGGGACGTGTATAAAGGGGTGGTGACTACTATTAGATCGCTTGCTGGAGAGACAAATGAATTTCCTATCACTGTAGGGTTACACTAAGGATCTACCTTAAGTCTTTATCTTTTTGCTTTAATTATAGATGAGTTGACGAGAAATATCCAGGATGATGTGCCATGGTGTATGTTTTTTGCAGACGATATAGTGCTAGTAGATGAGACTAGAGAAGGAGTTAATACAAAGTTGGAGATTTGGAGAAAAGCTCTTGAATCTAAAGGATTCTGGATAAGCAGAACTAAGACATAGTGCATGGAGTATAAATTTTGTAACTGTAACAATGAAAGCAAAGAAGTGAAGATTGAGAATCAAGAATTGTCTAAGAGTGAACATTTCGTTATTTAGGGTCGATTATTACAACAGTGGGGAAGACAACAGTGGAGATTGATGCGGATGTGGCCCATAGGATTAAGGCGGGATGGTGTAAGTGGAGAAGTGCGTTTGGGGTTCTGTGCGATAACGAATACCCATTAAACTTAAAGGTAAGTTCTATAGAACGACTATTAGACTAGCGATGTTGTATGGGACGGAGTGTTAGGCAACTAAGAAATAACATGTAGATAAGATGAGTGTGGCTGAGATGAGAATGCTAAGGTGGATGTGTGGCAAGACTAGACTAGATAAGATAGAATTAAGAATAAGTGTATTCGGAAATGGGTAGGAGTAGTACCGATAGAAGATAAGTGGAGAGAGAATCGATTGAGATGGTACAGTCATATTCAACGGAGACCAACAGATGCAGTAGTGAAGAGATGCGATGTTGTAACAGTAGATGGAAGTGCTAGGGGACGGGGTAGGTCTAGATTAATGTTAGTTAGTGTTATAAATAGATATATGAATCTACTTAATTTGACTAACGAAATGACTTTTGATAGGGCCGCGTGGAGAAAAAGAATTTATGTAGCCGACCCTATTTAATGGGACTTAAGGCAAGACTTGGCTTGACTTGGCTTGGCTTGGTTTGGTTTGGTAAGTTTAAAAAATTAGATTTAAGAAGTTGTGGGAGAGATGCATTTAGCTTCTGTTTTTTTATTATCAATTTTTAGCTTACGATAAACTGCATTAAACAGGCGTATAGTAGGATGATGCAACAAGACTTTGGAGTCTACTCATTTTTGTGTTTTTTTGTTTTTATTTTTGTTTTTTTTTATGCTTATAGGTCAGGAGTGGGAGGTCCTTTGAGAATGAGGAGAATTCGATTTTATGCTTGTAACGAAGATTCCTCATGTTTCTTTATTTTTGTCATACGAATTTTTGATAGTGTTTTTTTCCCTCTAAATTCTTCCATCTTTAGTCACAAGATTTTGTGAGCTTTTTGAGATTCAAATTTGTTAATCTTTAAGACATAACTCAATAATTGAGAATATAGGATAGAGAGACTTAGGGATAAAGAATCTCGTGCCTTCTTTTATTTTTGTTTTGGGAGAAATTTTATATTCTTGTTGAATTTAGTGGCTTTGTATTTTTAATTTTTTTTTGGTGGGTACCCATTTAATAATACAATTTTAGAGTCTAGATTGAGCTTGTAGCTGCATTCATGTGTCATATGTGTCTTTGATGTGGCTTTGACAATATACTACTTAACACAATAATCATTGTTGAAAATTGGGAAATTACATGTCAGTTGTACTATCAAAACTTAGTTACTGAACCATAAAAAAAATTTATAATTTTACTTTTTAATATTTATAAAATTTATCATAAATTAAAAAATATTTTTTGAAGTATGCACTGATGTGAAATTACCCCTATTTAGATGGTAAGGGTTTGACATTACGTGCAACTCATGGTTCTTATCCCAAAATAGTAATAATAATAATAGTAATAATAAATTATGGTTTTGTTCCTTATGAAAAATGTGTGATACGAAAATATATAAGTGAGTTTTATTTAGCATAAAACATGGCGTATAAATATTTTTGGTCACAATATAACGCAAATTTCATACTTATAATTGGAGCATGTGACATGATGAATAAATTAAGGGTGTAAAAAAGAGAATTAATGACAAAGGGACAGATTATATTGATTTCTCTTTGAGATTTAAAAAAGATATAAAAAAATGTTTTACAAAGACGGTAAT